TAACGTGAGCCAGTTCAGTCCACGAGCGGCTGTGGCTCCTGTTCGATACGACTAAGCTCATTGACCTGGCTCGAAGCTGGTGTCACCTGGTGTGCGCCTCAATGTGGCTTGACTTTTGCCATAAGATATGCTTATTGAAATGTCATGTAGGCATAACGCTGTGCTCAAGAAAAACTGTCCGATTTCTTGTCGCGTTTGATGTCCAAGCCGCACAAGTCCCGTGGTCGGCTTAAGATCTAACGTCAAAAGCGCCTATGTGTTTGTATTGTTCGCGTCGCGCTGACCTTAGTTGCTGCCCGGCCGGGGCCGACTAACGGTGGCTGGCAACAGCTGTAGATGCGGTCACGTGACGCCCTGGGGCGTCCCGGCGGTCAGTGCATGGCGTGGTCGGCTGGCGGGCTCGCCACACTTGCGTTCGGAGCGGCCTGGGCCGGCGGGCGAGCCGTGCGAACGTGCGCCAAATCTTGGGCCGAGCGGCCTGTCGCTGTTGGGCCGAATCTCCTTGGGCAGTTCGTTTCTTTTCTTCTCTTTGCATTGGCAGGGAATACGTCCTTGATCACGTGGTGATGTCTTGCACCACTTTCAGGTAATGTGGGAATTAATGCGGGCTAATTCTGAAAAAGGGCCACTGTGCGATGGACCAGCGCGGGTTTACGGGAGAGTCGCCCCTAAATCACGGCCCGTCCGTTCCGGGCTTCTGTCTGCGCGGCAGCAGGTCGCCGTGTGGCCAGTCTGCACGGCGTTTTTAGCCGGGCGCAGACAGCCAGAGTCCGCATCAGACGGGTCAGATAACGTCCAGACGGACCACCAATATCGAGAGGTCGAGCTGTGGTCTAATAAGTTTGTATAAATACATGTACATGCCCGTTTATTTTTAGCCGAACTCTTGACGAACAAGGACAGGGATACGATCAGAAAAGCATCCGCTGTGCTCAACAAAACTTCAATGGCCGATTACACGAGAGCTGTAGCCTGATGCAGTGCCGTCCTATTCATGTTCCAGTTATATATTTTCCAGAAGATGTACCTATATGGTCGCGATGCAAGTACTTTTTATCAGGCTCATGAGTGGACGGCACTTTCCAATGTGTCACCAACAATGCTTCGTATCGCCATGAAAGCCACCTTGACACTGACACCGTTGCGACATTGCTTGATTTTTTTTTTTGGCCGCGCAGGATTCATTAATGGCGTCGAAAGTCGTTGATACGGCAAGACCTGAAAACGCACTTGATGTTACGAGAACTGGCCTGAATAAAAACTGAAGTATACCAACTTTCAGCCCTCTATCGCTGAAGCATTCGGAGCAATCGCGGAAAACCATCGGGGTGTCCCCACCCTCCATCGGCGTGACAAGGATTACGATTTTGAGCTCATGGTAATTAGCAAGCAATAGGTCCTTCTCTTACTCGGGCACCCTGGTCCTTGCTTCACCTGGAACAATACAAATATTCGTATGCTTAGATGCTTGGTCTGTTTAGTGCTTGGTAAAGGCCAATGCTTAGTCGTTCCGTTTTTACACGACGCCGACTAGATTAATCGAGCCGCTTGTTTTGCGATCAGTGATAACGCGGTGTCAAGATGATGTCACGTGCTCCCAAATGATGTTATGATTGATGAGTCTGGCCCAATGTTTATGTAAGAGGATCTCAGCTCAATTAACCCACTGAAAACGCGCTCGTCCTTACTATAAATTATTTTCTGGAGATATTGAACTCACGCTTTCACACTTGCTTCTGCGAGGATGTTGCATACCGATTACCGTGCAGCACTGCGCAAGGTCGCGCGGCACCTTAACCGCTTGAGTTCTTTCTCTGTGGTCCCTGGAAGCGTCCTTTACGAGTGAGTCTGTGAGGTCGCGCCGCCCCTGGCCGGCGGCGGCGGCGGCGCGCCCGGCGACCGAGCAGACGGGCAGGCGGCAGCGCGGTGCCGGCGGCGGCGCGCGGTGGCGGCCCAGGCGCGCCGGCCGGCCGGCCCAGACGGCCCCGGCCACCCACCGCAGCGGCTCACCAGTAATTGTAGTGGCCAGCCCGCGGCGCCCAGCCAGCGCGGCCGCATGATTAAGACATGCAATAGTCGGATTTACGGCAGAAGCCTCTGGCGGCCCGCGGGAGGGCCGGAAATTGGATTAAAAAACTGGCCCCGTTTCGGCGAACGCGCTCGTCAAGCTGCCGTAGCATGACCGGACGGGGAGGGGAGGGGGAGGGGGAGGAAGCGGCCAGGTGAAGGCGGTGACGGAGTAGCGGGAGGGCAGCGGAGGCCGGAGCGGTCCGAAGGTCTATTCCTGACCGGGCGCTGGATCTGTGAGCCGCAGACATTTGGACGGCACCTCGAAACAGCTCGGCTGCCGATATCGACAAAAACCACCTGCCGGCGCTCTCCGACCCGGCCCGTCGCTGATGCAACGCTGCCAAACACGTCTTCACAGAACGGTTCCACTCTCCTCGAAGGAAACACGCGTGTTCAGCTGAATTTGTTTCTGGCAAATTCAGTTTTTGGCATCCGATCGACGACTTCCCCAGCAGAGCATGTTGGCCCAGTGAGAGCTCCTCAGAATCACAACAACCACCCACTCAGGGCTTGCAAGAAAACAAGAACACTAAGCAGACCTCCAGGTGTAGAGTAGTCTAAATTGGTTGGCAGCCACCAAACGCACTGGCTTCAGTCTGCAGAGTGTCGACTGCAGTCACACACCGCACGTCACGCGCGCATTAGCGGTGGTGACGGTGGGGGGGGGGGATGGTGACGGCGGTAGCGGTGGAGGGGGGGGGGGGGGCGATGGAGGCCGTGGTCGACACGATTCCGCCACTACTGAACGGCCGCTGGCGGTCGTGCCAGCCATAATTAGCCGCCTGTACAGCTGTAGAAATAATTGGCCTGACCACTAAGTGACGCGACACGCCCGAGGCGTCTGTCTGGTAAGCTCCGCCAGCTCGGGTGGCTGCAGGAAGGGCTGGGTGCGGGCTAGGGAGCCACTGTGGGTGCGGCCACAGCTCTCAGACAGTCAGAGACTACCTACAGGCGGGCTAGGGAGCGACAACTGCCCAGATACCTGGCCCAGATACCAGTCCTAGCGACCCAAGTGGGCTCAAACTGTCTTCGAGGATGGTAGCATTTAGAAGGTGAAGAAAAGGAGCCAGCGTGAAACTTTATCTAAAACCATAGACTCGTCTAAATCCATTCATGTGTGTGCTTATGAAAATGTCTATTCTTAATTAGAATAGACAATGTTGTTTTTATCAGATAGCTTAAAGGTGCGTGGTCAAGCACTGTGTCTTGTCCCGACCGACCACAAATAGCTTGGCTCGCCAATCACTTTATGCGCGGAACTGTGCAGTCCTTTTGCTTTTTTAAAATATTTTCCAGTGTTTGGAAAAGTTCGTGAGCGCAGTAGGATGGTGCTGCTGGTTGAATTACTACCTACTGCAATATCCGCTGAACTATCTCGTGTGCTTTTTAGGGTGAACGCAAGGAAGATGACAAGTAGGTAATCTATCTTCATCGGGGGAATCCCCGATGAAGTATGAAATAGTATCATCAGGGAATCCCCGATAGGATAGAACTAGTGGGTACCTTCTGTCCTGAGAAGTGACTAGGGAGACCAATTTGATCCCATAGAACTTTGATGGCATGCAGAATGCAGAGACGTAAGATCGGCATGATAATGAATAATGTTTGGTACGACCATATAGCCGCCATCATCTCAGCTTCTCTTGAACATGTCTTGCATGACTTCGATTGCTTCATGGAGGAACGCCACGGCGTACAATGAAAAAAGACCATTACTGAAGTCTTTATAGCTATTACAATTAATCACTTCTATGTAAAACTCTTAGTGACATCTCCGCCTATAGAGCTATTTTTGTAAACCATTTCGGTTCCGAGCTGTCTTGAGCTGCAAATGCGAGCCCTTCGTAAATTTTGAAGGGTATTTGCCCATAACTGTGCTGAGAGCTGACTAACAATGTTATTTTTTTTTTCCGCAGCAACTTGGATATGGGTATATGAAGCAACAAGCCTCTCCAATTTTTTCATACACTGCTACACACATTATCGGAATGGACAGCTTGATAAAACATTGGTTTTCCTTGCAGCACCAGTTCGGACAATTTCAGCAGCTCAGTGACCAAATCTCCGGTGACCACAAAAACCTAGTCACTTCATCATTGTCAGAACTAATGTTGGAGGCTGAGGGGCGCACCCCTGCCATGAGGTGCGGGTTTGTGCAATCAACACCGATCGGCCCATGGTATGACTAACATTGCTGAGCTGCTTGCTGTTTGCAAAAATAACCATTCAAAATGAAATATTTGTAATTTTTACAAGCGATCTGGTCAATGGGACCCTGTTACTCTTATGGAACTGTTCAATATTCATTTACATAGTAAATTCGTGTCGATTGTACCATCCCGAAAAATGTCCCATTTCATTTCCGGTTGAAACATTGTTACCATATATTTTACGTTTTGTTATTATTTTAGATCATGACAACCAACTTGCATTTCATATATTACCAGACGTAATATAGTGAGAGACATCTCATATGTTGCTCACCAAGTGCACATTTGGGCGAAAAGTATATTGGGATGTCTCACCCATGTGCGGAAGGTCACTAAGCATTCAACTATAGCATTCATGGCGCACTGGTGTTGCTCCCGGCTCCGCTTTCACAAACAAAAACAGCCCATACAACTGGAACAAAGTCTCGCCTTTGGGGGAAATGTCGATACCACTCATAACCAGAGACTAACGATGGACATCACTAATCGTCAGTGACTATCGGTGGTGATGGCTCCCATCCAACAGGCACCACTGACACCACCGCCGACCATCCGGGGGCACCAACTCACCACCAGAGACCACCCGGGGCACCACTCACCACCAGAGACCATTGGGGGGCACCACTCACCACCAGAGACCATCGGCGGGCACCAACTCACCACCAGAGACCACCGGGGGCACCAACTCACCACCAGAGACCACTGGGAGGCACCACTCACCACCAGAGACCGTCGGCGGGCACCATCAGCGTCAGGCAGACCACGATGATGAACAGTCTGATGAGCTGCTGTACGACCAGTCTGGGCCTCATGCTGCCGCCGCATGGCAGCCGCTGCAGGATCGGCAGGGCAGCGCGCCCCGTCCGCCGGTGGCGCAGGCAGTCCGCGCCCTCCCGCGGCACCACTGGGCCGGCACTGCCGCCGCCGCCGCCGCCGCCGCCGCCCAGACGGACGGGCCGACCGGTGGCGCTGGAAGACCGCCGCCCGCGCCGAGATTGCCGCTCGCCCGCGCCGGCCAGCCGCAATCACCGGCTGGTATGTATGTGGGCTGCGAGCTGCGTGGAAAGCTGTCTGGAAAGCTACCTGCTTGGCTCGCTTTACCGGAGAGAATGGTTTGATGCAGAGAGAAGAGCGATTTCATGCAGCGGAGACAGGCGTGCCACTGCATCGGTATGGATGCGAAATCTGGGAGTCCGAAGTGAGAGCAGTTTCTGGTGCCGGTGTTGGCGGCGGTATACGGCGAAATAGAAGGCAAACGAGTGATTGCAGACATGGATTGATTGAACAATGAACGGGAGATGGAGGAGGGAACTGATGCGGGGACGGACAGGATTAGAGACGAAGAACTGAAGATGGAGATACAGAAGGCTGAAATGGAGACGAAGGTGCGGAGATGGAGACAAATAGGGCGGAGTTCGAGACAAGGAGGGTGGAAGGGACAGAGGATAATGCAGAATCAGATACAGAGACAGACAGCAGCGGCAATTAACACTTACACGGAACTGAATGCGAGAAGGGGACGCCGACACATGATGAGCGCAACTGTTCGAAAATTACCGGCTAAAATAGACGGAGACGGAGACAGATACGGTAGGCGAGTTAGACGAGAGACGGTAGGGGAGAGTGGGGAAAGATGCCCAGGGTTTTACTATGTCATATATTATTCGAAAATGACGATCGGAAAGCAAAAACTTGGAGTTTCAACGGAAGGCGACATCATTTTTCTCCAAAAATATCACACTTTCGTGCCTGAAATATGATAACTTTTTTGCTATTAAGCATTTTCCTGAAGAAGTGAAAGGGGGCATCTTACCCCACAGGGTGGGAAAGACGCCCCCTGGCGTTGGGGAAGATGCCCCCCTGCACTACAAGTAACATAAATGGGCACGTGAATCGCCTGAACGAATCAGTAGTCCCTTCGAGCCTGCAGTAGACACCAAACGTCATCGTAAGGGCCCTCAAAAGTAGTCGTAAAGGGGCTTCAGAGATCATCGTTAGGGCCATCATAGTCCAGCGCGGCCAAACAAGCCTCCGTGGTGGCGTTCGGAGACCACTGTGGGGCCCTTATAGGTCTTCATGATGCTTGAGGGCCCTCGAGCCCATCGTGGGGACCTCAGATGCCAGCGCGGCCCGTGGAGCCGACGTGGGAGCCCTCAAAGGATGTCGTGAGGGGCCCTGGAGCCAATAATGGGGCCCACAGAGGCCGTCGTGAGGGCTCTCCGAGTCAGATCCCGCCCAAAAAGTCGCTGTGTGGGTCGAGAGACCGGCATGGGGAGCACCCGACCGTACTGGACTCTCAATAGTCCCAGATCGGCTTTTGTCTCTCATCACAAGTATGTAATAAATGATTTGACGGGCTGCTTGAAGGACAGCCTACGGATTTAGGGGGGCGTCTTTCCCCATCAGGACAGGGGGCATCTTACCCCAAGGTACCGAATTAACATTAAATCAGCACAATTTGTTAACAATTAAACTACACCCTGAAACAAACTGTTTGGGACACAGTACACGCATGTTAATGTATCACGGCTATAGCAAGGGACGCAAAAATTATCTACCTTCATTGATATTTACAATGTTTTGACACCAAAATATTTTTTGAAAGCAGCAAATAAAAAGCATGCAATCACCAGCCAGCCGTTGCCAAACTGAGCTTCGCATATTTTTGTGCAGTCAACAAGGCAGGCTTCCGCTTTACGCTAAGAACATTAATTTCCCGGTTCGATTCTTTGTTTCGCCACTAGAGGGGGTGGGGCGTCTTTCCCACCCTGGGCATCTTACCCCACTCTCCCCTAAATGAACGACGGAAACGGAGACAGAGACGGAGACAGAGACAGGGACAGAGACGGGACGGAGACGGGACGGAGACGGGGCGGAGACGGGACGGAGACGGGGCGGAGACGGGACGGAGACGGAACGGAGACGGGACGGAGACGGGACGGAGGCGGAACGGAGACAGATACGGAGATGAAGACGGAAACGGAGACGGAGGCAGATAGAAACACAGACAGAGACAGAGACAGAGACATAAACAAAGATAGAAGGAACAGAGACAGAAACAGAGACAGAGACATAGACAGCGACAGAGACGGACACGAGGAATCTGAGACAGAGACGGACACAAGGGGGTCGGAGACGGAGACGGAGACGGAGACGGAGACGGAGACGGAGACGGAGACGGAGACGGAGGCGGAGACGGAGACGGAGACGGAGACGGAGACGGAGACGGAGACGGAGACGGAGGCGGAGACGGAGACAGAGACGGAGGCGGATGCGGAGACGGAGACGGAGACGGAGACGGAGACGGCGATCTGACCTGTAAATGAGACCGCTGATATCATCGAGTGCCGACTGCGGTGGCCGGAGTATATTGTCACTGCCACCAGCCGCCCTAATCCTGTGATATACCGACCAACGCCAGCCAGTCGACACTCAGGACAGCGAGGGCGCAGTGTCACACCGGGTAAAAATCGGCAGACACAGGCGAAAAGTGGGCAGCAGTTCCGACATCGATTGGTGGGAGCAGCAAAATTTATATCCGTAAAACAGCGAAGTAAAATCATCGCGGGACCTGTTGCTTTTCTACATGCATTCCAGGTACGAACCGCTCGCCATTCTGCCCCTAATTGGGCTAAACCTTTGCGGAAAGAAACGGATGTGGGCGCCGGTACGAGACGCAGCGAATGGTACTAAGTTTCATATATCGTTTCATCCGATGGCTTCTGAGGTCAGGTAAAATACCTCAGGGAAGATGTCAAACTTCCTTCACAATATGATCGCAGAGCAGCGAATTTGGTACCATCGTGTTTGTCATAATCAGGCGCGTCTAAACTCATTTTTTCATTGCAATTAACGCTCAACTTAGCGGATATGCCTATAAACATCTACCTAAGTGTAAGCCACTACAAACAACAAATGGATGAGCACTAGCGATTCTAATTTTTACACCATTACGATGTGTGGCACCAAGGAGAGCAACACGTTTATTGCAACCAACATTGCCCCACATTAAGAAAATGCCTGTGATGATCATATAAGCCTTTTTATGCTTGAGCTTTTGACATTGCATGAGCCCCAGTGAATACCACGAGTGTGTCATTGTTTTGTCAGTGGCTGTCAGTTAGTCGTGCTCTGTTCTGTCATCCGAAGAATTATTGTCCGTCAACACTTTTTACGTAAAGTTGCTAGTTTTAAAACGGAAATGGCTTCGTTCCCAGTTATTGCGAGCATGCAGACCACGAATGACATGAGTTATCGCAGCAAATCACGTCAATCGCATGACATGCTCTTCATGGTATCGGGCTCATGTCGACTGCTAAATTAATCACCGAACGATTGATTGCCTGTGGCCCGCCTGTCTTCACTGAGCCGCTGACGTGCTCTACAGCCCAGTCACTTGCTTCAACAAATAGCTAGGGGAGAGTGGGGTAATTTGGCCGCTTTTTTTAAGAAAACGATGTAACTAAAAATCGACAACACATTTCTGCATTTTCTCAACGCTGCCAGGTGTGGCATACATTTTACTTTCCTGGGGCCGTATTCACGTCGATCATTTTCGTAAGAATTTTCTTAAGTTTGACCTACTTCTTAAGTAAATTTTTTATTCACGTGAACTCCGTCGATAAAAACTTAAGAAGTGTTGACGTGAATACCAAATCATACTTACGAAAGAAAATCGACTTACGAAGTCGACGTGAATACGGCCCCTGGACAGTAAACTTGAAATGATAGAGTAACTACTTATATTGAAATTGTGACGCATTACAAAGGTCTGCAAAGCGGCCAAATTGCCCCACTAGCAGGGTTATTTGGCCGGGGGTGTGGGGCAATTTGGCCGGTGTTAGTTTCAGGCCATGATTTTTGTTATAGGCGAGTCAGCTTCACATTCAGCAATGAGGCATGTCCTACGACGCATTTGAAGCATTTTGGAGGTTGACTCAGCCGTCACAGGGGTTGAAAATAGTCATAATAGCGGCTCTAGATGCGATGACAGTTTTTTTACGAATAGCTTTTAAAGTAATAAAGCTAGGCCAAAACTAAAAGTACCATCGTATTTCTCTCGTCATTCCGCATCGAAACATGTATGTGTTGACCTCGAGAGGTCAAGGTCAAAGGTTGGCTTCAGGTCACGTTACCTCAGGTCGCTTGACCTCAAGGTTACGTGAGTTCAAGGTCATCATGCATATCATTCGATGCGCCTTGACGAGCTAAACACAATGAGACCAATTGCGCGGCTGTATCTTTTTTCTGTAAGTATTTATTAGCAAAAAAAGCGTTAGGTAACCTTTGATGACGTCACATACCCTCACAGCTGTCCAATAGGAAATATGGCATCAAGGTAGTCAAAGTTGGTCATGAATTATGTCCTTTATGGTATAATTGACCATGACAACTTGGCCGTCCCAGCATAGTGACTCTGAGCGCACCGGCCAAGTTGCCCCGCTAGTCCCGGCCAAATAACCCCACATTGCCATCCTGAAAATTTTTGTCTATAAAGTCGTCATGGCTGTACAGAACTAGATGAAATTGCTCTTGGAACTGCTGAACACCCTCAAGAATGGCGCTATAATGTCGGGATTCGTTTACAGCCCAAATACTACATGTTATACAATTTTTAAACGGAAGTAAAAGTTATCATTTTCTAACGAAATTCACGTTTTATTAATTTTAAATAAAACTAAGAGGGGAAAGTTTTGACATTTGTTCTGGAGTTAGATCTGACGATGACAAATGAATAGAGACTAAAGTTATTTCATTCACTTTTATCAGCTTTCGTACAGGTGGGGGCGGCCAATTTACACCACCGGCCAAATTACCCCACTCTCCCCTACGCCTATAAATTCCATAAAATTGCGTTTCTTAATACTGCAGGGTTGTATACGACTCAATCAATAGCAATCAATTCAATCACGACAAATTTGGGAAACCAATCAAATCAATCAA